CAGTCCTGTTATCTCTACTAAATGACTGCAGGTATGAACTTGAGATGAGGAGAGTGAGGTCCTCACCAATGCACAGTGTTGGGCAGTAAGGCATTACTAGAAATAATATTATAGTAATAACATTACTTTCCCCAGTGACTAGTAGTGTAACATTTCAGTAATAACATTACAAAAAATTATTCACCACCTTAAGTTTCGTTGGCACCCCTCTACTGATTTGAAATCCAACAATCAAATTTCATCCTTGTATTCATTTTTGTAATAGTGGAAGAAACTAGCTTGGAAGATGGAAACACTTACATTCAGCAGCTGAAATATATTTTTTTCACTGCTTCTCTGTCTCGTGTAGTACTGTCAGGATATAATGAAAGTTTCAGCAAATATGAGAAAAAGTTTTTAGTAAAAGTTACTTTTTTTGACAACCCTGGTGCTCTGTTTGCAATCATATTTCTCCTTCCCATGTTTTGGGCCAAGTTGAAAGCCTAATCCACACGGATAAATATGTGGGGTGTTGGCCTGGTTTCAAACTCCAAGACACTATAAAATAAATCCACAAGCAAACAGAAGAGTTACACCATTAGAGTACATTCCACCTTAAAATGGCTGTGTGCTAAGCACTGTTTGGTACTATGTCATTTTCTGTGTCTATTATTAAAAGTAAGTAAAAGTCTTTCCACCACTGTTCAAAGGGGACAGTGGCCTTTGCTTCATCCTGCTTTGATGTTTGACTTTGTACATTACTGAATGTTGTCTGTCAGGACTCAAAAACTGTAGCTTCCTGCTCAGCAGTGAAAATCAATTTGCAGTACTCGATTAAAAAAAGCTTATGCGAAATTGAAAAATGTAAATTGCTCAGATTGGATATTTGGTGGACCTTCTGTCTGAGTGGCAACACTAACCAGTGTGCCACTGTGCTGTCCTTACATGTTACTGTTTTCTAATCACCAAATGATGGTGTCCTTTAATCAGCTAACCAGAAACATGGTCACTGGTTGAGAGAGACAAGTAAAGGCTGCAAAAGCTGCATGTCAGAAATGTCCCTCCAGGTCTGTAATTTATGTTAAAGTTAATGGCGCCTTTTGAAGTAATGATCTTTCTATTGCATTATCTGATGTGACACTAAATACAAAGGTTTATCTGCCCCCTGATGCTGCTATGTAAAAATCGCCCTGTCAGATGGTCATACAGTCATCACAAAACAAATATGACCAAAGGTGCCTGACAGGGGCATAGGGGGGAAAAGTTAGGATAATTCCAAGGGCCCATGACTGACAAGGGCCCCAAAAAATAGGTAAAAACTAATATAACATTTTTAAACCATCATCATTCAGTAAATATATTTCAAATATAATAATAAAATTAATGATCTCTTTGTTTTTACTTGTTTTTGGCAGTAAAAGTTAAATATCCCTATTGACCAAAAAGTAAACATCCATATTGACCGATCACCCCCCTGTATCTGCATGAAATGGTTTGGTCCTGCCTTAGCGCACTTATCAGTGAGGGTGTTTATTGCAGTCAGTAGATGGGCCAGAACTACAGTGATCACAATGTTAACTAGTAAATCAAAATCTGGTTTTCAAAAAAGGAAAGAGAGAAAAGAGAGAGAGGAAAGACAAAGGAAAGGATGTCAATCTGTAACCCAGTGTTTCACCAAGAAAGGTGGTACCCTATAGTCTGTGAGTGGTATTAACCTGTTGGCTTAATGTCCATAGTGAAATAAGATAGCCAGCTACAGACTAGTGTTAGTCTACATTTAATCACCATTTAATCAGTTCAGGGAAACGTTTAGCAACATATTCATATTAAATCATTGTCCCTGCCCCTTTTAGCAGACTTAACAACAGATGAGTCAGCAGCACCCCAGTCTCCCCATCACTGTACCCCTCCCCGTCCCAGTGAAGAAGGTGAGCAACATTGTGTTCAATGACAGGCCAGTTAACATCATTGCAGGGAGTCTGTGGGGATTTCTCTGTCTCTCTTGCTCTTTTTACCATTACAAAAAAGACACATAATGATCATTATGAAATAAAATAAAAGAACAACAACCTACTGTCTGTACTGGATGCTGGACAGTTGGAAACAGTGAGTAGTTTACCTGAGCCTGCATGTAAGATACAGACAGTAGTAAAATAACCCAGTTTGATACGTTCATTTAGATTGAATTATGGAATGACGTCTATAGATACAGACTTTATTATAATAATAATAATAATTAATAATAATAATTAATTTCGTTAAGAGAATTTTCCATTTTGAAATTTTACAATAAAAATACATTGAGACTGTAAAAGATGGCCTTTAGCACATTTTTTATGGTTGCTTTTAATCTTGCATCAAATAGTGAACTGCATACTGTATGCAGACTTGCATGCATGTACAAATCACCAGCAGTAAATATTGTGCTAGTACTAGTATTGAACTACAAGAAGCAAGACAGTTGCAAGCCTTTAATTAGAGTTATGTAAAGCTTTTGATGGGACAGTTAGGTCCTAGAGATGTGGTGACAACAGCTGCGCAGAGGGGGCCCAATTAGATTTTTTTGTCATGGGGCCCAAAATTCCTGGCGGCGCCCCTGGTGCCTGATGCTGACGGTACGGCTGTGGCAAATGGCAGAGGACAGGCTGTAGAGCTGTGTCTGCTCTTAACTCACAAGGATTTCCAGAAACTTAGATGGAGTTACGGGGTCTCTGAGTACTGATCCATCAGGGGATCCTGGTGGAGAGTAACTAAGTACATTTCCTCAAATTCTATAATACTTATTGGTCCTGCTTGACTGCCATTGCCAATACTGTTGTTGCTGTGCACCTGTCTGTCTGTCTGTCGCTCTCTCTCTCTCTCTCTCTCTCTCTCTCTCTCTCTCTCTCTCTCTCTCACCCCAACTGGTGAGACAGACGACCACCCACCTAGAGCCGGAGGATCTGTCCTAGGTTTCTGCCTTTTAACAGGCAGTTTTTCCTTGCCCTTGTCGCCAAGTGCTTGCTCATGGTGGTACTGTTGGGTCTCTGTAATTAATGTTAAAGAGTTCGGTCTAGACCTGCTCTATTTGAAAAGTGTCCTGAGATAACTTCTGTTATGAATTGGCGCTATACAAATAAAATTGAATTGAATTGAATTGAATTGAATTGAATTGAATTATTAGTATTAGTATTTCCATTTTTATTTTACTTTATACTTCTACCCATTACATTTTGGAAGCCAATATCATACATTTTACTCAACTACATTTATTTGACAACATACTATTTACTTTGAATGCAAAACATAAATCAACTAACGTACATCCTAATTTCACATGGATGAACCTCACCTTTATCCCCACCAGGGGGTCGCCAAAGCTTTGCTTTCTTTTAAATTTCTCTAAAACTAAATGCATCTGAATGGCTAGCAAGCTGCTCTTTTTATGCAGAAAAACATCTAAGATAATGGGCCAAAGAACACATTAAAGGACCAGTCTGTAGGATTTAGTGGCATCCAACACTGTCCCTTCACCTGCCCCTTGTAAGTGCAAAGGAGAAACTACAGTGGTTGAGAAACTGTGATATACAACAAAACACAACAGCCATCTCAAATATCACTGTAGAAACAAATGCAGCAGGCATGATTAATATAATCAATCTGATCTAATTAATTAAAAGTCTGGATTGTACAACCTGAAAATGTGACCCATTTAAGCATGCAGATCTGTAAAAATATAGTTTAGGGTTTTGCTAGCTTGTACAATTTTTTAAATTGTAAACCAGATGAAGTGAAGTAATGCTTAAAGTAGAAAAGTGATATTTCCATCTGCTTTGTCAGTTGTTGTTGTTGTTACAACCATAACACATGCTAATAGCAAATTGTTATGAACAAGCTAAAATGAAAGCTGTCTGTATTGAGCTGTTTTTCTTAGTTTGACACATATCCTTAAATTTAATTCTTGTAAACTTAGTTACTGCCTTGACACGGCAGCCCCACTCCAAACTTGCCGCTGCTCTCTCTATACAGTCACTCTATGCAGCAGTGAATCAGCAGCAGGCAGCAGCAGAGGGAGGAGAACAAAGGACCTTGGTAGTGGTCTGCATAGAGTTCACTTCTTCTTAAAAGTGTGTTTTGGAAAATAAAGACTTCACATGACTTTCATAATCAAATGTGAATATTTTTGGTCTTACACTTTACTTATAGCCAGCAAATACTCCTAAGTCCTCCTTAATGTGTTATAATATCATACAGCTGCTAATAATCATATGTTTTGATATGTTGGAGGATGTTTTCTCTGTGTCTTTATGACATTATAACTATAACTGTCTTTATAACTTTATAGCTATGTAACCCAGGACTCTGCTTCACCTTTCAAACACTGTTGTCACTTTGGCATTTGGATATAAAGTATTATATACATGAACCAGTGGCAGTATATGATATGAACTTATAATACATTATGATTCCAAACATGTATAAAAAGCTTTATACCGCCTTATAAATGCATAATGTCTTATGCTTAGAATACATTATACACATGACCTAGTAGAGTTGGCTCGAGTCATACTTTCAATGAAGCTTTCTTGAGCTCTGTCCTGGACTGTCCTCTGGACTCCATAGAGGAAGTGGGTGAGAGGAGGATGTTAGTGAAGCTGACATCCATCATGGACAACACCTCTCACCCCCTACATAACACTGTGGGGTCCCTGAGTATCTCCTTCAGCAGCAGACTGTTACACCCACGGTGTAAGAAGGAGAGGTTCCGCAGGTCTTTCATCCCTGCCGCTGTCAGACTCTACAACACCTGCACCACCTTTTTTCAAATTACCACCATACCATAGTTTAGTTTTTATCATGTTTTTTTATATCTGTATTTATTTATTTATTTCAAGTAATTGCTGCTGTGACAAGGGAATTTCCCCGTTGTGGTATTAATAAAGTAATACAATACAATACAATCCAATACAATCCAACCTTATATTGTCAATTATATCGCTGGCGTCAACGCGCACTGCGCATGTCCGTGAAAGGGCCGACGTCACGCTGTGGACTGCCATAGATGTGTGTTGCTCCTTAAGATCAACGATTACTGTCTGGCGGGTCTCATCAGGGTGAGTATGCTGCTGAGGCTTACTAACAACAGTGGTTCATAAAGTTACAATAGTCTAGTTTGGTTGGAGTGCTTTATTTCGAATTGCTAACTTATTTTAAGTCACCTTTAGTGTTCGTTATCATTTAATGTAAATTTGTCAGCTAGCTGGGTATTTTACGTTATAAACTGTAAAAGTTTTGTTGAAGCGTCGTTGATGCAGCCCAGTGTCAATGTAAGCGTCAGTTAGCCAGTCAACTAGCTAGCTAACTGTTAATGTAGCTAATATGGCTAATAGACCCTTTTCCCGGCAGACATTATGACTTGTCAAGGAAGAACAGTTTTTTTTTTTATATTAAAAAGTTTAAATGTATTTCATTAGATCCTATTGAAAACTGACAATTTTAACAATAATGAATAACTGTAGATCACTGTTGTTTGAATTGCACCCACACATATTAAAGACAAACTGGCTATACTGACAGCGCCCCCAGCTGACAGATGAAACAGGATGACCGCATTGCCATTCCCCTGCCCTGTACATTTGGGTGTTGTTACCATGGGAGGCCTACACGCTCAATTGCACAAATACACTTCAGAGAGAAATCTGACCAAGTTGGAGAAACTGCTGAAGAAGGGTATGTAACTTAGTAACAGTAATAGTACTAGTATATTGTACCAATAATACATCTAGGTTGGCATCATGCAAACAAAGATGAATTCAATAAAAATCTTGAATCAGACGCCCAGTGCTTAAAATAAATACTCACACTTCAAATTGCAAACAAAAAACAACAACATGGTATCAATGATTTCTGATATGTTCCAGGTGTTGATGTGAACTGTGTGAATCACTTGGGTCAGACTGCGCTGTTTTGCGCTGCTCTGTCGGGCCAAGTGAAGGTGACAGAGCTGCTGCTGCATTACGGCGCCGACCCCAACCAGTAAGTCTGGGCCTGGCACTCATTCAAAGAAAGAGCTGGTACATTCTCAAAGGGCTTGCTTCTAAAGTCTTGTGATGATGATTGATTTTGTATTAAAAGCAACTTTGAGTTGTAGGAAGAAACAGTGTCTACATGAAATGTCGATTAGAGTGACATGACTTGGACTTGAGTCATAAGTCTGATGGACTATTCAATATTAAACTGATGATAGCAATCATGTGACAGAATATTATTGACGTATAAACAAATTTCTTCTAGTCGCTGTGAAGACTGGAGCACACCAGTTCATGCAGGTGTAGTCTCCTGTAACCCTTCAGTGGTGAGCAGCTTGCTGGATGCTGGAGGAGATCTAAGACTCCATGATAGGGAAGGCAGGACACCCTTTGACTGGCTCAGGGCTGCAAATCAGGAAGATAGTGCCAGGGTAAGTTGAGTGGAACGTGTCAGTGTTCTCTCTCTCTCTTTCTGGGTGTCGTTGGAGTGTGACCTGCATAGTTGCAACAACAGTGCAACCACTGACTGACTGTTTAAAAGGTTAAGGGACTAACAGACAGTTTTTTAAAAAATGTCAAAATTAAAGCAGCAGAGGCTGAGATGTTACGATCTTTAGTATTGGTCTAAACACTTCCCAGCTTAATACAACTTGATACTATCTTTCATTAGACACTCCCTGTTTGGTAAAAAGCCACATTTAGGCAGGGTTATAAACTTTCCAAGCAGACCATCAGAAATTATTTCTGTAAGGTGTGTTCTTCCTGATTGCCAAGTGAATTTACACCTCACATTAAGTGTGCAGCTGTTACCTCTGGATTATGTTTGCAATCAAACAGCCAATGTGTACCTGCTAACAGTGTATGGACTGACATTGTGTTTTGACACAAACTCAGCTTATACAACATCACTTGATCCTGGATCAGCTACATTGACACAGTCAGACGTGTTTTGAGAATAGACATACATTTTATTGTCAGGGCTTTGTTATGTTCTTGCAAATTATAATCATTTAAAATGAGCAAGAGGAGGAAGAGGTCAAAATACCCACCAAAACCACAATGCCATCAGGGATACACACATAATGCACTATGCACACCAGTGGGGAACAGTTTTCTCCATTAAGGAAGACAATGTCATGGAAAAAGGAGCAAAGCAGCCTTACCCCAAGATCCACAATATAAGAAAAGAACGAAAAGCCGTAAAAGAAACAGCATAAAAAGGCAAGGGTATGGGAAAGAGGCCCCCTGGCAGAAATGCGGACTGTAGTAATCTAGTAACTAGTAATCCTGAACAGCACCGGAGGTGGACGAAGGAAAGGGCTTGGAAACAAACTGCGTGTATCAGCAACTTATTTGGGTTCAGCACCTCTGGCAGAGATGCAGTGAACAACCTGTCCAAAGGAGGGAGTGGACAAGTACCTGTACAGCACCATCAGAAACCCCAGCAGGGACTAAGGCCTGGGAAAGTCTATGACAATGGTTGGACCCAAATGAGAGCCAACCAAGGGGATCCTCTCCTGACCATCACTGGCCTACATCGGTGGAGCAGGTGAACAATTTTAGGTTCCTGGGAATCAACATCACAGAGAACATGTCATGGTCGTCTCACATCTCCACCCTGGTTAAGAAAGAAAGCAAACAACTGTATTTCTTAAGGAAACTTAAACCTAACTAACATTAGTTACATTAGTTGCTGTGTCATTGTTCACTCTATGCCATGTAATTTGTCATGGTATTGAATGCAATATGCAGGCAAAATAGACTAATCAATGTTGAGACCTCAAACTCAAACTGCTTCTATCTCATTAGATGCAAAACTTCCTGGAGAGCTGCATGTCATCTATGCAGCAGCTGTGTCAGAGCTCAGCCATGAGGAAGCTCTATTGTAGCCAGGCCTACATCTCAACCTCCATCTTGTTACAGCCTTTATCTTTGCTGGATCGCATAAAATCACGGTATGGTGCACAAAACCCTATATTGATCATACATCTTTACAACATCAAATTATTTCATGTTTAATGTCTTTTTGCTTTCTTTGATTAATTACCTACCCCAATTATCCACTTCCCGCTTTTAATCTTCAGCTAGCATTGAAGCTTTTTAGAGTAAATGAAGTGCAGAATAAAACCTGCAAAGGAAACCAAGCAGGCAGTTAAACAAGTGTCTTAATTGAGCCTATAGGCCTCTATCCTAAATTAGTGGAGACTACCATCTATACACTTTTTTCTGAGTATTCTAATTAAGGTTCTGTTCCATTCAGGTCAAACAGAGTCAGGGTGCTGCATGTTGACTTGAAAGGCTCTGCTACACTAAATAGATCTGAATCTTAATTAGTATAATTGCTAACACATTTGATTACTTGGGCGGCTGTGGCTCAGAGGAAAAGTGGGTCGTTCCTTAATCAGAAGGTTGTGGGTTCGATCCCCAGCTCCTGGTGCCACATGTTGAAGTATCCTTGACCAAGATACTGCCATGCATCGGTGTGTGAATGTGTATGAATCTTCGTTTCCGTTCGATGGACTTCGCCGTGAAAGGGTGAATGTGGCATGTAGTGTAGAAGCGCTTTGAGTGGTCAGTAACTCTCTGTATGTGTATCAGTGGGATCAAAGTAAAGATTGCAGTCTGGTGCTTCTGTGTTTCATCACAGCACAGTCGTATAAATGAGATTATGGCTCATGTTTTATTTTGGAGTACCTTTTAAATTTGGTAAGAGGACATGCTATAAAACAGGATCAGATGATTCTGTGTGGTTGTCATTGTTTTATCAACTTCAAAGATAGATGGAAAGATATTCTTTAAGAGGAACTGATCTACTAAAAACATTACAACATAATCTAACCTGTATAAAATAGTAATATCAGAAATTAGAATAAACACCATTTTATGATCAACTATCCACAATTCTGTTGTTGTTAACTTATAATCAACTGGTATGTTTATGTGTGTTTCTGGTCCTTTTAGTGGAATTGACATACAATCAAATAAAAGGACAAACAGCAAGTCTTCCTGTACAAAAGCCCACTGTTTAGGCTTTGGAAAGGTATGTCACTTCATACAGTGTGCTAATAATATAACACATCTCCTGCTGCCTTCATGAGACACACATACAGCACATACTCCTGTATCACACTGTGAAACTAGAGGCCTAAGTGTTCCTTTCGTGTATGTTTGTCTAGGTGTGTGTGAGCAAGCCATGCCGGGCGTTGGATGTGCCAGCATCCATTCCTCTGATCAGAGAGAGTGAGCTGACCTGGGGTGATGATGACCCTCTGCTATCCTTCACCTGTGGCTCTTTGACCTCCATAACCAAGTAAGACTATTACTAAATCCCTCAGAGTGGAAATAACTTTTTACTGTTTAAATCATCTCTCATAATAAAACATGCTTGTGCACGCATTATTCTGTTGTAGTTAAAGCATGAAAAAAGATAAATAAATAAATACTGAATGAGGTAACACAATGGTGATTGAGCCTACGACCCACTGATAAAAGCACTGTATTATTTCTATATTTACAGTATAATGAACTGGGTGTCATTCTAGGAAAACATGCTGAATTAGGTTACTGCTAATGCAAACTGTACATTTCGTAGTAGTCACAGTGCATTGTTAGATAAAGAGCTGCAAGCCCATTGTTAGGGCTACTAATAGATGATATAATGATTGGAAAAGATACTTTTAATATACAGTCAACACTGTGATCAGATTTTTTCTAAAATTTAGAGATGATCACAAGCAGTAGATGTCAGTCTAAGAACTGTTTTCAACCATGTGTTAGGGCTGGGCGATATGGCTTCAAAATAAAATCTTTTTACACCAAACCCGATTTACGATTTTTTTTTTTCTTCTTAAAAACAGACTACAAATGACAAAGAAATCATTCAAAACAAGTTTTGCTTTTATTTTGTTTTGATTTTCCCTTCTGGGATTTGAACAAAATTTCCCCTTAGGGCTAAAGTGCAAAAGTGCTAAAGTTAGCGAGTGTTTGTGGGCTGCGGTCCTGTATATCTCGCAGAGAGCAACATTTCTCCCACTCGGCTGCATGCCTCTGCTTGAGGTGCTGGAATAAATTTGTCTTACTGCTACCTTTGGTTGCAACAGCTTTCAAACAAACTTTGCAGTGGGTCGTGGTTTGTTTGCTGTCGGCAAAACCAAACAAACCAACGACACTGTGCCTTTTTTGGGGACGAGCTCATCCTGGTTTGCTGCCATGTTGTGTGTATCTGTGGAGAGGCGGGGGGAGGGGACAGCGCACTCTGACCTATGGGAGCCCAAAGGGAGTGCCGGTGTTGTGGAAGTTAAAGAGAAAACCGATTTTAACTAAAAATAAATCGTGTTTAACTACAAATTCTAATTAATTGATAAAATCGATTTATCGCCCAGCCCTACCATGTGTGTAATTTATTCTTGTTTTGTAGTTTGCGTAGCTGTTAACACACTTCCACTGGTGCTATGCCAAAATGATGCTAGGCTAAGCAGCCACTATTTTGTAACAATCACACGTTTCTTTTAAAAATGATTGGAAAAGTCAGGCAATCTGAAGTTATGAGCCTCTCTATTCACTGATATCCTATACTCCACAGAAAGTCATACTGTGACTATGACTATAGGATAAATGATTGACATTTACACCCTAACCCTAACGAGCTGTATGGGATCAGGTATGAAACAATATGACCAGGAATTAGACAGGAGTATTTAACGTTATGTTTATTTAACCCAGAGAGATTTCCTTACACTGATCACCAAATAGTTTACCATTGTGTTTCAGTTACAGGTGGAGGGGCTCCAGCGTCGCAGTTAAAACAATGAGGGAGAGTCAGACAGTCTATTTGGACCTGCTCCTCATAGAACAAGACTATTGCAGGTGAGAGAACACAGGGTGTGTGTGGGGAAGTAATATTTTTGTTATGGGTTTGTTAACTTGTACATTTGTCTGTATGAAATTTGCAAAAGGACATTTTTTTATGACTTTTTACTATAGGTCTATATTATTTTTCTAGATATTTTTAGTTTTTTTACGATAGGCATAAAGGTAACTTTTCAATTCTACTTGTATCGTGCCAAATCATAACAGAAGTTATCTTAGGACACAGGTCTAGACCATAGTCCTAAAATAACTACAACCTGAATTTCATTATACCACTCTTAGCGTAAAATGACAATTAAATAACTTTGTATCTAGAGGTGGGCGATATATATCGTTTGCGATAATATCGTCATTGTTGTTTTGACGATGTGCAAATTTCCATTATCGAGTATTTAAATTACTTTGCCAAAAATATTGGAACGCACGCGGAAACTCCTCACATCCACTTAATACACATTGCAGCAACGCTCTCTACAGCATGGCAGGATTCAGTCACACGACTAGTGGGCCTACATGATCACATGACGTGATCACATGACCTCTCGCTAGCATCCTCCTTGCAACAGTTTAGCAGCGCGTTGTGATGGTAGAAAGAAAATGCAAACACCTCCAGTCTCTGAAGCTACCGGTACTTCAGATGAATCCTATGAGCTTCAGCGTTCAGAGCGCTCAGCGCCTTCAGCGGTAAAAAGATGTCAGCAGGGACGTTTTTTTAGTGAAGCGCTCAGAGCACTTCAAGTTGAAATCTGTTATACTTTTAACACCGCTGGGCGCTCAGAAAATGAGTTTTTGAGCGCTCTCAGCGCTAAAAACACGTTTGGTGGACACCCTAACAACGCCAACTCAAGATTGACCTGTTGATACAGGAAATTGTATTTATAGTGTATAGTGTATTTCAATCTGGAATCCATCATCTTTTTCAATACATTGTTTTTAGACCAATCTGTATTAAAGGTAACAATAAATTACTGAACCATTTGGCACAGCATTTCTAATGATTTAATTTACCTACAAACCAAATGGTCCATACTGTCTCCCCTAGAATTTATGAGTTCACACACCGAGTGTAGTAGTAGTGAGTGAGTGTAGTGAATGCTTACTGTCCCCTGTGGTTGCCTCTGAATCTTTTAGTGTGTGTGTGTGTGTGTGTGTGTGTGTGTGTGTGTGTGTGTGTGTGTGTGTGCTGTAAATAGCAAGCTGTCCCATCCACAGCTGCTGCAGCTAATGGCTGTGAGTCTGTCTGATGACCTCCGGAGGACCAGTCTGGTGTTTGAGCCGGTCAATGTCGGCACGCTGCACAATTTGCTGCACAACAGGGTAACAAAGACACACCTAGAGGATTTAATTGTCCCTTCAGACACATACATAAGATTTATGTTGGCTTTAATGTTGTGTGTGAGTGGGATGTGACATTCAATAAAAGACCGCGGCTGGAATGAAAGCAAGGATACTGTGGTTATGCACCTTTTGTTATAATATGCAGTTAGTTAGTAATTAGTTCCCCAATGATTAATTGTATTTACTTTACTTACCCCTGACATTTGAGGTTTTGAGTAAAATGTCTCAGAAACTATTGAATGGATTGCCATGATATTTGGTGCAGACACTCATGTCCCCCTCAGGTTGAACTGAAATAACTCTGGTGATCCATCACGAACATCAAGTCAAATGTGTCCAATACTTTGGTTCATGGCCTGCAATAAATAATAATTTTGTGTCAGTTTTTAGTAACTGTAGGTATTTATACAGATGAAGGGAGTCAGTTTTCACAGCCATTGTTAAGTCCTTCTGGGGCGGTTTAATACTCAAAAGATGGGCTGATACTCGCCCCTGATTGTTAACTAGTGAATAGGTGGGCGCCCAGTTAGCTCAGTTGGTAGAGCTTGCGTTCCATGTACAGCCGTTGCATTGTATTTCTGCCCTTTCAAACTGTTAACAGTAAACAGTGCTGTAGTGTGTGTGTCTACTTCCTCTCCCTGCAGCGTGCAGAGTTCCCAGTGCTGCAGGACAGATGGCTGCTGCCACTGATGTTGCAGGTTTGTGAAGGTCTGCAGTACATCCACAGTGGAGGTCTGGTGATGAGGTCCCTGTCTTCACACAGTGTGGTTCTCACAAAGCTTTCAGTAGCCAAACTAACCGGTTTTGGCTTCATGGTCCCCAGGTAGGCCCAGTACTACACCAGGCTCAATGCATTCTTGATGGAGGAGGTGCAAATTAAACTTCATGCATGAGGAAACGTGTTTTAAATGAATATCTAAAAATAGGGTTTTCAATAGCCTGATTCAAACTTAATTTTCACTACTACTTCAATATTAAGTCTGATTAAGCTTTTTTGTCACTAGTGCATTACATGTTCAGTCATTGATGTCATTTGCAATTTTCACAGATACTGCATTTGCTCAAAAGTATCCTGTGTTGTTTTACACTTTGTTTTACACTTAGTTTTATTCAGTAAAATGCATGATGTATGTCCTTGAGGCCTAGCAAACTCATAAAATATGATATTTTGACTAGTGGTCAGTAATTTAAACAGGTTTCCTCAGAACTGTGGTATGCGTAGCATACAACAATGTAGTATGTGTTGTTTAATCAAAACCAATTTAGAAAAGTACCAGAGAGCTCAACACCGCTCAATCAGAATAAAGTTGGTTCCGATTCAAAGGCAATTTTGTCCAAATACAAACAAGTAATAGAGACAGCTCTTAATGCATAGTTTCATGAAATTGGTCAAATGATTACCCTGTATCTGCAGTCAGGACATTGTATGGTTACTATACACAGAGAAGTTCTCTAGTAGAAGTAGACCTAGTCTTCAGAATAAATACATCAGAAAGAGGTTTTACATTTTTAAAAAAAGACTACCTAAGTGTGTTGAGTGACATCATGATTAGCTCATAACTCATACCCTAAGCAAGAGTCAGTCATTTCTGCAACACCTGTAGGTATATCACATTATTACATATTTTCATGTAAGTGCCAAATGGTCACAGAGGAGGTTTGTCTTCACTGCTGAACTACCAACACCAAAATATCATCTGTTGTCAGAGCTACAATCAATCTTAAACAAAGATTTAACCTACAGCAAAGATGAAAGAACACATAAATGTGCCATTTGTCCTTTTGTCAAATTATTTTGCCTCTTTGTTAATGGTCTGCAGTAGGCTTGCCGCAGTAATCGTGGCTACCGGTCCTCTAGTTGTATTACTTGCCCACCGCCCTGACTGTGCTTTTATCAATATAGTAGGAAAACGGACGCTAATGTGTTTTGATTTGGGGTCTAAAGCTAAGTCTAAAGTGTGTGTTTCAGTGAGCCCCGCCCTCGATTATTGATGTTGATGACTGGATATTGAGTGACATCGACAAATATCTTTTCTTGCAAAATGCCAGTGTAAACTGTAGCACCAGTGTTGTCACCAGTTTATTATTAGGCACCTCTAGTCTGCAGTGAATGCAACGTACTGTAAATGGAAACATATTCATTGTTGTTGACATTGTCAAATAGTCAGATGTGATGCATCAGACCAAATTAATATTTCCAAATAGTAGAGTATGAAGTGGGTCTCAACCCTGGTTAATATACTGTGTTTCACCACACTCCTGGTCATAATCATGTTCCGTGTATTTGTGTGTCCAGGAGTCAAAGTCATGTCAAACCCCCCATGCACATAGTCCTCTCCCCAAGCCTTTACAGATGGGCTGCTCCAGAGGTCATTAAACAGCGACCCTGCACAAAGGAGGCTGACATCTACAGTCTGTGTGCTCTGATCCAGGAACTCTACACAGGTAGTTCTCATATGGCTTCTCAAGGTATCATGGTTCATTAATTTTTATTTTACAACACAGGGTTGTACTATTAAATGTCAGTTGAAGCCCCTTCGTGTTATACACACATAAACCATGCCAATAGGTCCTCATAAATGTTACACACTGGACCTGTTAAACAGAACAGAACTGAGCATTTGAACCAGAAAATAAAGTAAATTAATATATTTGCATCATATATCATAGTTTTTGTACATATCCTATCTTTTGTTGTTGTATATATTGTATATTTGAGGAAAGTGCTGGAGGGACACAAAGCATTTCACTGCACAATGTATGGACATGATGACTCGTAAATCCAACGTTTCATACATTGTTTCAGACAACGAACCATGGGGCACAATGGACCTGGACGGGATCAAACAGGCGATGGAAGCAGGCCAGGTCCTGGCAGTAGACGGCAGCATTCCACAGCCTTACTATGATGTGGTTGTGAAAGGCCTGCAGCAGCAGCCACAGGACCGCACATACAGCCTGCAAAGCCTGTGCTACACACTACAACAGGACATCAAGGTAAATGGACCTGTACTTATGTAGCGCCTTTCTAGTCTTCCGACCACTCAAAGCGCTTTTACACTACGTGCCACATTCACCCTTTCACACACATTCACTCAGTGATGGCAAAGCCCATCAAACAGAGACTAACTCATTCATACACATTCACACACTGATGCACAGCATCGAGAGCAATTTGGGGTTCAGTATCTTGCTCAAGGATACTTCGACAGGAGGAGCCAGGATCGAACGAACAACCTTCCGATTAGGGGACGACCTGCTCTGCCTCTGCGCCACAGCCGCCCCAGGTGTGCCTCACTCTATGTGTTTCAGTCTCTGCAAGCTGTGTGTGTTTGTCTGTCCGTAACTGAAGGTGTATTTACAGTTAAAGGGCAGGTTCACAATTATATGCTTCTGTGCTGGCGATCACCAAGGCATTATGTTTTCGGGTTATCCGTCTGTGCCATTCTTGTGAGTGAACTCAGGAACACTGTGAGGGAATTTCTTCAGATTTGGCACAAACTTCCACTTAAACTAAAGGATGTACTGATAAGAATTTGGTGATCAAAGGTAGTGTTGGGAGTAACGCATTATAAAATTGTTACTGTAGTTCTACTAGTTTTGGTGGTAACTAGTAATGTGTAGGGGTGAGGGGATCAAAATGGTCTTGGCAATTCGAGATTTTGGTGATTGTGTAATAGAAAGGACACATATTTCAAAATCACTAGCTGAAGTTAGTCTAGCAATATTTTGTCGATAATATTCTTGTAATATTTCTTTACACACTGTATCAAACAATACAAATAATAATTTCTAGAATGCACATGGGATTCGAGGCCTGCAACAGATAAGAAAGATTATATTTTGCACGACACAGAACATTTTACATCCTGCACTATGATCCAGAGAACTTTGCGTGACACTTGTATTTTGTGTGTTTTGCAGAGGTTGTCTCTGGAGAAACAGCTGAGTGGTGAGCTTTGTGCTTACCCAGAACAAGATCTGGAGCCTGGGGTCCAGTCTACAACACAGCATACCACTGTCGGGGAACCAGTACAGAATGGTACTGAACACAACACACACACATATAGGGTTCCTATGTGTACTGAAAAGCTAACAATGAATGCCTTGTGAAACTACTCAACTTACGGTTTAGAAATGTGTGCAAGTGTAATGACTGTGTATACTTCCAGCACATAATTCTTTAAAAAAAAATCCTCTGTCTCTTTCAGTTGGTAGAACTGTCAGGCCACTCGTAATCAAGACAGACACAGTAGAGGAAAGACAGGTCCACCTGGACAAACAGCTGTACAAAGGAACAAAGCCAAAGCAGAGGAGACAAAGATATAAATGTGTGGAGGGAGAATCCATGTTCCATCACGTGTACCCTTACTCGGACATGCTTCCTCTGCTTGGTGAGTTTAACTCAGAGAGTGTTGAGGAAGAACCTGATCCTGAGGCACACTTAGACTTAGACTTAGAGCAGCTGGATGGCCTGAAGCTGTCCAAAGTGACAATGGATGAGCAGATCAGCACCATTGCAGTCAACCTCAAAGTGTCCCAGGAGTTGTTGCAGCAGGCCAGAAGGAGCCTGGACACAGTGGAGGACGAACTGGACTCAGTGACCGGGCTCGGAGATGCTTCTCCCTGTGTCCATACACTCTCTCATGCCTCCTCCATCTCTTCCTTCTCCATGTCCTCCACAAATCTTTCTGGAGCAAGTACTGCTGTTGGACCACATTCAAAGTGGTACAGTCTCTTACCGCACAGGGGGGATCATTGGGCAAAGAACCTGGAGGCACAGCTCCAGAGTGGAGATTGGGAACTGCTGAGCCAAGAAGAGCGGTCTTTATGGCTGAGTCACTATCCAGCTGAGCAGGACTGGCTGCTGCCTTTGCTTTCCTCAGGTTGCTACATGAAAGAGAGCCGTTCATTGGGAGCTGATCACAGCACAGCGGAGCTGAGCCAGTACAGGTCAGCTCTGGACGACAGCCTTCTCAACATCCTCTCTAGGAAGAAGCAGCAGGTACATGGGATTACTTTCTCATCATGATGATGTTATATCATTTGATAAATTCAAGAACACAGGCTTTAGGTGGTTCCCAAATTTTTCTTAAAGGACCCCATGTCTATTATTGTGTGAACTGACACCCCTGCATAAGTAACTTATTTTATGGAATTTATGTAAAACAAGCTATTTGGATGAATTTTGAGCAGATTATTTCCTGTGAATATTGCATCAAAGATGAGTTTTCTGATATTTTAAGAACTTTTTATACAATTCTTTGTCTGTATTATGTTTTTTTGTTGTTTTCAATTGTTACAATCACACAGGCTTCTTTTTGAACAAATTCAGTGTTTTCTTCTTGTTTGTTATAATGCAGGATGAGGCTGTTTATTAGAGGAGAGTAATGTCTCTATTTGATGGAATTATGAAGCCATTAAAACAAAATGTCGATTTGAATACAAAAAATCCCAATGCTTGTAGTGTAAACATGTGATATATCTCCTCCAGACATCCAGTTCACAAGAAGAGGCAGACATTACAGTAGAGGTGTGCAGACCAGCAGCTAGTGGGAGTCTGGATACTCATGACACCAGTAAGTCATCAATATTTCCTGTCACCATCGCAGTGTGAAATATGAGGAGGATGTGGTGAAATTTTCTCTGTTGGTGAAACACAGTTTCTCTGTTTTTCTTCCCAGACTATGAGAGTTTTCCAAACAACTGTGAAAAAATGAACACTGGTCCTAGTGTCCATGTAACACAGGCACAGTATACATCCAACACTATCATGTAAGTACACTGACATGAACCTACAGTATGTGCTTCATATGATAGTGTATTGAGACACTAGTGGAAATAACTAAAACCATCCGGACATATTTCACTTAATGCGATACAGTCTCCTGGATGTAACCAGGTCTCAGTAAGCATAAAAAAATCTGAACTGATTTGATCATGTGAAAATCATGAATTTAAAAACGTAAACGCTACTGAGTTAGGAGTTGGACATGGAACAGGACTTCAGTAAGCACAGAGAAACTTTTCACTTTCAGCAGATGAATGTGAAAACACCCTTCTAGTGTCAAACTCTGCACAGACACCATTCAAACATCAGACTGTCGGGACAGGAAGAAAATCTGTTTTGTGACTGGAGGGAAGTGGAAATAACATCCAGTTTGAAATGAATTCAAATGAACATGTCAGACATAATGGTGGTGTTGATAAAGGGGTACTTTAGTTCAGCAGACTAGGCTGTGGGAGTTAAAGCTTAGGAAGCACTGCTATTAGGGATGGCCCGGTGCAATCGCAGAGATTGGTATCGACTATATTGAGCCCAATCCGATCCTTAATCAGATCTGTTTTAAATTAGCTTTAACACAGCTGTTTGTACTTGCAAAGCTTTCATGCAGACAGCGAAACACTACCGCAGGCAAAGGCTGCCCTGAAGCAGCGAACACTAGAGGACACTTGTAAAAGGAGAGAGAAATGCCCCTGAAAGAGTGACAAGACCAAAAAGATTGTAGAAGACAACAAACATGAAAAGAACAGCTGTGATGCAGGCATGTTTTTTTTTAAATGCATTGCAGAGCCATTCACTTGTCATGCAAATACATCAGCTTTGTTTTAATTCAATTCAATTTTATTTGTATAGCGCCAATTCATAACAGAAGTTATCTCAGGACACTTTTCAAATAGAGCAGGTCTAGACCGAACTCTTTATAACATTAATTACAGAGACCCAACAGTACCACCATGAGCAAGACCTTGGTGACAAGGGCAAGGAAAAACTGCCTGTTAAAAGGCAGAAACCTAGGACAGATCCTCCGGCTCTAGGTGGGTGGTTGTCTGTCTCGACCAGTTGGGGTGAAAGAGAGAAAGAGAGAGAGAGACAGACAGACAGACAGACAGACAGACAGACAGACAGATGCACAGCAACAACAGTATTGGCAGTGGCAGTCAAGCAGGACCATGGCAGGAGGCTCCACCAGGATCGATAAGAACCTGTGAGATGAGAAAGCACAAGAACTCCGGGGAAGAAGTGAAGTTAGTAACATGCATTAATGGAACATGAATGAGTGCAGAAAGAGAGAGGAAGAGAGGAGCTCAGTGCACCATGGGAAATCCCCCGATAGTCTAGGCCTATAGCAGCATAACTAAGGGATGGTTCAGGACTCACCTGATCCAGCCCTAACTATAAGCTTTATCAAAGAGGAATGTCTTAAGCCTACTCTTGAATGTGGTGAGGGTGTCTGCCTCCCGAACCACAACTGGAAGCTGGTTCCACAGGAGAGGAGCTTGGTCTCGCAGGTTCTTGTCGATCCTGGTGGAGCCTCTTGCCATGGTCCTGCTAGATTGCCGTTGCCAATACTGTTGTTGCTATGCACCTGTCTGTCTGACTGTCTGTCTCTCGCTCTCTCTTTCCTCTCTCTCTCTCTCTGCCTCTCTCTGCCTCTCTCTCTCTCTGCCTCTCTCTCTCTCTCTCTCTCTCTCTCACCCTCTCTCTCTCTCTCTCTCACCCCAACTGGTCGAGACAGACGACCACCCACCTAGAGCCGGAGGATCTGTCCTAGGTTTCTGCCTTTTAACAGGCAGTTTTTCCTTGCCCTTGTCCCCAAGGTCTTGCTCATGGTGGTACTGTTGGGTCTCTGTAAATAATGTTTTAAAGAGTTCGGTCTAGACCTGCTCTATTTGAAAAGTGTCCTGAGATAACTTCTGTTATGAATTGGCGCTATACAAATAAAATTGAATTGAATTGAAATGGTAACTGAAGGCTCTGGCTCCTGTTCTACTTTTAGAGACTATAGGAACCACAAGTAGCCCAGCATTCAGAGAACATAGTGTTCTAGAGGGGTAATAGGGTACTATGAGCTCTTTAAGATATGAAGGGGCCTGACCATGAAGAGCTTTATAGGTGAGGAGGAGGATTTTAAATTCTATTCTAAATTTTACAGGGAGCCAGTGCAGAGAAGCTAGTACAGGAGAGATGTGATCTCTTTTTCTAGTTCCTGTCAGTACTCGTGCTGCAGCATTCTGAATTAATTGGAGCGTTTTAATGGACTTATTGGGGCAACCTGATAATAAAGAGTTGCAGTAATCCAGCCTTGAAGTAACAAATGCATGGATTAGTTTATCTGCATCTGTCTGTGATAGGATGTGTCTAATTTTTCTAATATTACGTAAATGAAAGAAGGCAGTCCTAGAGGTCTGCTTTATGTGGGAGTTAAATGACAAATCCTGATCAAAGATAACTCCAAGATTCCTGACAGTGGTGCTAGAGGCCAAGTTAATGCCATCTAGAGTGACTATATCTTTAGACAGTGAGTCTCTAAGATTTCGGTTTTTTTTCTGAGTTTAACAGTTTTAATAACTGTAATGTATTGAAGTGTGCCCTGTGTGCCATTATTGTCTAGTAAAATGTAATTTTTTATCCATATTAAATGACTCAAATCACTTGATCAGGAGATCCCTAACTGCTGGCCCATATTACCAATTTTGACAAATCTGAATTTGGTGATTCTATCTCTGACCTTGTTATTCATTCTGATGAGATTGTAATTATTGGTCATTTGGATATTTATCTGGTCTACAACCTTCTGAGTATTGCCTCTGTGGCACTTGTTGATAGTGCAGTTGGTACATGAATCTACTCCCTGCACTGGTAATACGCTTGACTTGATTCTATCACGCAGGATAGAGGTATCTGCTCTCTGACCGTCTCTCCTATTACATCTGGGGTTTCCTATATTATTATATATATCAATATATTTATTCCTTCCTATAAACATTTGTTAACCCAACAGGGCCCCAGCCTCATCTCCTCACCATCCATTCCTCCAGAAGGTTTGAAAGGGATATTCTTCACTTTTGCCATTTTGTTTTCTTGCTATTAGGACAATTGCAGACTAGCACAGTTTCTGGGTCAGCTTGACTTTTTTCAATGTGTAGTTAGTGTGGCTGTGATAGTATATTGTGGCATTCTGGATAGAGTAAATGGAGGGCAAGCAGTGGAGATAGAGGGAGGAATAGATTAACATTTTTTAGACAAAATGTTACTGAACCTAAAAGTGATTATTTATCAGATTTCCCAATCAGTGTATTTATTGTAACTGATGTGTTTTATCTGTTCCTGTGTTTGTGTGTGTGTGTGTGTGTGTGTGTGTGTGTGTGTGTGTGTGTGTGTGTGTGTGTGTGTGTGTGTGTGTGTGTACAGGCCCCGGTCAAACATGCCTCTGCTGGCTGAACTCTCCAGCATCACATACTCTCCAGCTCATCCTCAGGAGAAACTCAACAGACGAGCACCACCCTATAATAGTACCCCACGTTGCCCAGGTAGAAGCACACACAATGTGAACACACTTGAAGCTTTACTTTTCATATAATTTGACTTTTCCCCTGCAACCTGCTTGTACATTGTAGGATCAATATCAAGGAGAGTAGATGGAGAGGAGAGGAGAAACAAGAAGAGCACAGACTGAGATTGCTTTTTGCGGTACTTCAGTGACTAAGAAACAGTTATTCTACAGTCACATCAGAACGACTGCCCCTGTTGAGGGTGGATAATGATATTCAGGATAAAGGAGAGTTTCTATTTTTTTGGCATTTTGTCTTTATTCGGATAGTGACAGTAGAGAGAGACAGGAAAGTTAGGGAGTGTGAAATTTTGCACGTTCCTTGGTACATTTTTTACACATTGTTACTTCATACTGTTACTTTTGTCCTGCAAATGCATATTTGTAAAATGCTGATTAGAAACCAGGTTACCTGTATACATGGCGCTCTTCAGGAGAAATCTAGCTGGGGAAATCAGGTTTCCTTAAATCCTCTACCCCATTTACGGAAACCAGATACCAATTTGAATTCTGGTAAAGGAGAACTTAAGTGATATAAGATGCAAACATTGCTTGAATTGTGTTTTGACAGATGTACACCAGGATATGAAGATGGGTGTTATTGACGCCAATACTGCAGTCTCCCCTGCCTGCAGCCGACTCAGTTCTGTGTATGTTGGGATTGAGAGTTTCACCACGCCAAGAGAAAGCTCAGTAAAGGTTCCCTTTAGTCTCTCGTTTCCTTCACCAGTGTGGGTTTTTCAGGGGATTTACCCAAACCATTTTAATTGATGAATTGATGATCAAAGTGTTAACTCCTTCTTTTAATTGACTCCAGCTATAACATCCCATACTGTATGTTCATCACATTTGTATATGTTGCAAAGCTGACCCATATGTGCTGTTACCCTCTGTCAATTCTTAGGGGTCCAACTTTTTTCAGCCTCCACCTTTCAAGGTGGACTCTGCCAGCAGTCCCCAGGCCTTTATCACAGCCGTCCAGGAGGAACAGCTGTCCATGGATTCTGTGTCCCCCAGCTCCAGTGTCCATGGATGCTGCAGCAGTGAAGAAGGAGAGGACAAAGTAGACCAAGAAGAGGAAGGAGAGGGAGCAGGAGGGTCTGAGCAAGATCAGAGTGAACTAAGGCAGGAGGAAATGGATGGAACCAGTCGAAGTAAACTAGGTGTATATGTGGGAGAGGTAGAAGAGGAGGCCAAGGAAGAAGAGGAGTTTGATGACTTGGAGAAAGGATTACAGATGGTCAAAGAGTGCACGGAGGGAGAAGAAAACATGGGAGAGGAGTACAAGGGAGGAAAGAATGTTGAGGAAGAGAATGGCTGGGGCGAAGCACAGAGAGGTTAGAACCAACAGTCTGTACAGCAACAACATGGCTGATGAACAGTCAGGCTGCAGTAGATCACTGTATCAAGGTTCATTTCTTTATATATGGATGGGAAAGGATCAGATTCTATGTGATTTGTGCAGTTCACACTGTTCACCTGGTGGATTCTTGCAAATGCCATTAGGACTACTAGAATTAGCCAAAAGAACCACATTTTTTTCATAGATTATCTGTTGCATGTACTACTGTCAAGATATTTTGAAATTTTCAGCAAATATGACAAAAAATAATATTTAGAGAAGTACCTATTGCAGCAGCTATAGAAATGCTACAAACATGGTAAGCATCAGCAGCAGGATACTATCACTACCCAGAGCTATTCAGTGCTACACAATAGGGTTTAAACTACTATGAGCATTACTGCATTTGTTCCAGTTCCCTACCTGAAAGATGGGAAACTTGCATCTGGCTATCACACGAGTAGGATCAAAGTCATAAAATCAGCCTTAGGCTTCTCTCGTTATAAACATGGACAGAGTATACGCCACAGTTACCATACCTGCAGTCCACAACAAGGAGCGCTCAGCAGTCTCTACTGAGACTCTCTACTGAGACTGGTTTTATGGTAAATGGACTGTACTTTAGCGCAGAAACTAACATATTCATTCAAATTTCAGAGTCATCAGGAGCAATTCGATTAGTGGACTACCCGTTCTACCTCTGAGCCACAGCCGCCCGCCTTATCATTTCCTGATTACCTGCTGGTCATATGAATGTGTCATATGACTATGCATGTGCACCAATCACCTATATTCCTAAATACTGTATATAATAAAGGTTCAGTGTGTAACATTAATAGTGAATATAATATTCACAGGTATGTTTTCATTAGTGTATAATCACCTGAAGATGGGAATCATTGTGTTTTTGTTACCTTAGAATCAGTTCATCTACAGACGCTGCAGAGTCTGCGGTTGAACTGCCATGTTTCTACAGTAGCCCGGATTGGACAAACCAAACAGTGGATTTAGGCAGGGCCTTTTGCGTTTTTCTCAAGTTTTGCGGCCAGTGTCGTTTCATTTATGTATTTGACTTTGCTTTACAGATGTGGGCTCAGAACAGGATGAAGATGATATTGGTGACAGGAGGAAGAAAATTACAGATTTGTTTGGCGGTGCTGAAGAAACATTAGAAAAAGCCTTGGGTAATATCAGTAAGCAAACAGACAACTATCTGGTTTTTAGTTTAAGTGTTTTGTTGTAAGTGTGTTGTAAGTGTTTAATGACACTAATTCAGAAAGTCTTGAAAATATTGATTTCTCCATTCAGGTGAACTTGGTGCAGACACAGTGATTGTGGATCCAGAGAGGAAGGGAGAGCTCACGGTGTCTCCAGGGTCACAGCAGAGTCCCAGCTTATTGGAGGACACAAACAGGTGGGTGACAGCAGCTACAGCTCTGTTAAGCACAGTGTTTGTTACATGTGTGCCAGAACCTCAGTCCAGTCCTGTCCAGTCCATAGATATAGAAATATAGATACCTCGTTGGTCGCAGACTGCACTAACTATAACTCGCTTAATTCTGTACCAATTTGATATTCGGTTTGTTATTAAGGTGGAAAATTGAACCTGATACTGGTTGGCATTAATTCAGTTGCTGGGGGCGGAGTTAACCAGCTTCCACTGGGACATGCAGAATGTGATCTATGAACAGATAACGTGTAATGGATCATCGGGAGCAATTTGGGGTTCAGTATCTTGCTCAAGGATACTTCGACTTGTGGTGGGAGGAGCTGGGGGTCGAACCAACAACCTTCCAATTAGGGGACAACCCGTTCTGCCTCTGAGCCGCAGCCACCCTTAGTCTGACTAATAGTGCAGTGGTTGCACAATGGAAAAAAAAAATCATCTTGCGATTATTTTGACAGATATGATTCATGAGTGGGACTGATCACTTTTGTGTCACAATTTAGAATTTTAATTTTCTTTGAAAAAAATATTCAAGTCTTGAAGATGTAAAATTAGTTTGCGTCCAAAACAAACAATCCCTGGAGAACAAGATTTGTTGGCAGAACTACAGTACTTTATTATACATTATAAAGCTGTTTGTCCCACATTTTACCTTTATCAAACAAACTAGGAAAATGGATTACATTACCACTGCAGACGCTGCAGTATCTTTAAGAACTGACCTTGACACTTTTTTTCATTTATTAGAAAGAAAGATAAATGATTTAAGATCACTGAGCTCCTCCACTACTTTTCTTTTAAATGTTTGTCTCTCATAACAGTACTAGTGAGAGTGTCTGTTTTTATAGCTCTAAACTGTGGAACTCAATTAATTATTCATTATTAATTATTAGTCTCGCTGGTGTTTTGTTTTAGATCGACTTTTATTTTTTGGTTGTTTTACATTTTATGTTTTATTGTATTCAGTTTTGTATGGTATGAAAGGTGCTCTATAAATAAAGTTGAGTTAAGTTAATATGTATTATATTATTAATAATTATTAATATTTGTGTGTATTCAGTGTCTTGTTGTCAAAGACAAAAGTACTAACAGCTCACTTAGTTTCATTTGAGTGAACCTCCCACCCGTTGGTGCCTTTTCAACCTGCTTGGCTTTGGGTCTTATAAACAGAAAATTCCAGGATTATTCAGACTTCCTAGGAGCTGAGTCATGGTATGTAACTGCTGTTCATGTGTGTTCCCTTTTTGCAGAGCTCACTCAACACTAGACGATGTACTACAGGGCTTTGTAATGGAGGGCACCAGAGAGAGCCCAGGACCAAATAAAGGGGTCAAAGCATTGTGAGTATCAAGTACAGCCAAAGCTAGTAGGTAAGCAAGTAGGATAGGTGATGTATTTCAGAAGCAATTTTTGTTATTTGTTAAAATTCTCTTCATATCCAGTGTTCAATCTTAATTATCACTGAAACACAAATGTTTAACTCCAACATGAAGCAGATCAGAAACATGGAGAACAACAAAACACACAAAAAATAGGCTGCAAACATTAATTAACATCTGCCTCTGGAGAATACTAAACATCTGGTGGAGAGACTACGTCAGACTGCAGGCCAAAGTGGCCCAAATCAAATTTTTTTTTGCTCATATGTGACACAGATCTGATGTTTTGTGACAGTGTGAACAATACAAACCACATGGAATCAGATCTTTTCAATTCTGGACCACATATGAAAGTGGCCCTAATCAGATTCAGGTCTGATTCTTTGCAACATGACTTACACAACGTGAACATAAAACTCCTGGATCTGTGGCTGTCACAGGCCTGTAATAAGCCCAGGCAATCATTTGATTCAGACCGAAGGGGTGTTGAGCATGACATTTAATTATAAAAAAATGTATTCATCCAGGAGACCAATGCCATCCGCATTTGACTCATAGTGGACCTGCTGGTCTTCAGGTGATTCATGTGATTGCTTCTGGCAGTTTTCAACTCATGTACACACTGGTGTATAGACATACAACTTCAAACTATTGCAAACCTGCAGCCTTTGATCAGCATAGCAGATGAAGTGCCAGATCTATCAACACAACAGCAAAGTCATTAATACTGCTTAAGTCCGAATTCTATTTGATTTGAACTATTACTTATGAGCTGTAGCCAACTGAATGTTACGATGAGAAGAAAACTGTAGTAAACTGTAGTACAATTGGCCAGAGACCGCTCCGGTGAGACCACAGCAGAAAATCAGCTGAGTGTAAATGCTGACGACCAACAAGGCCTACCGGTAAATGATATGACTGTTTGTAAGCAACTGCTGTCCTGTATTGTCACATACCAACTCTGTATGTGCTTTGCATACTTTTACTCTTGTTCTGGTGTTTGATGCCTCTGTGCTGTAGTCCAGTCTTAATAAGGCTGAATTCATGTTGAGAGAATATTAGATATTAGAAAAGAATTCTTTGATACTATTGGGCTCCATATATATACTCACATAATACCCACTATGTTGTTCATGAACGTATCGCATGCATTGACAATAGGGTTACACTTGGCATACATCCATGCCGGGGCGCCGCCAGGAATTTTGGGCCCCATGACAAAAAAATCTAATTGGGCCCCCTCTGCGCAGCTGTTGTCACCACATCTCTAGGACCTAACTGTCCCATCAAAAGCTTTACATAACTCTAATTAAAGGTTTGCAACTGTCTTGCTTCTTGTAGTTCAATACTAGTAGGCTACTAGCACAATATTTACTGCTGGTGATTTGTACATGCATGCAAGTCTGCATACAGTATGCAGTTCACTATTTGATGCAAGATTAAAAGCAACCATAAAAAATGTGCTAAAGGCCATCTTTTACAGTCTCAATGTATTTTTATTGGAACATTTCAAAATGGAAAATTCTCTTAACAAAATTAATTATTGTTATTAATTATTATTATTATTATAATAAAGTCTGTATTTATAGACGTCATTCCATAATTCAATCTAAATGAACGTATCAAACTGGATTATTTTAATATTGTCTGTATCTTACATGCAGGCTCAGGTAAACTACTCACTGTTTCCAACTGTCCAGCATCCAGTACAGACAGTAGGTTGTTGTTTTTTTATTTTATTTCATAATGATCATTATGTGAGAAAATAATTGTTATTAATGTGTTTGAATTTCTGTCATTAATAAATATTTAATTTTCTTTTTTGTAATGGTAAAAAGAGCAAGAGAGACAGAGAAATCCCCACAGACTCCCTGCAATGATGCTAACTGGCCTGTCATTGAACACAATGTTGCTCACCTTCTTCACTGGGACGGGGAGGGGTACAGTGATGGGCAGACTGGTGTGCTGCTGACTCATCTGTTGTTAAGTCTGCTAAAAGGGGCAGGGACAATGATTTAATATGAATATGTTGCTAAACGTTTCCCTGAACTGATTAATGGTGATTAAATGTAGGCTAACACTAGTCTGTAGCTGACTATCTTATTTCACTATGGACATTAAGCCAACAGGTTAATACCACTCACAGACTATAGGGTACCACCTTTCTTGGTGAAACACTGGGTTACAGATTGACATCCTTTCCTTTGTCTTTCCTCTCTCTCTTTTCTCTCTTTCCTTTTTTGAAAACCAGATTTTGATTTACTAGTTAACATTGTGATCACTGTACTTCTGGCCCATCTACTGACTGCAACTAAACACGTCACTGATAAGTGTGCTAAGGCAGGACCAAACCATTTCATGCAGATACAGGGGGGTGATCGGTCAATATGGATGTTTACTTTTTAGTCAATAGGGATATTTAACTTTTACTGCCAAAAACAAGTAAAAACAAAGAGATCATTAATTTTATTATTATATTTGAAATATATATACTGAATGATGATGGTTTAATAATTTTATATTAGTTTTTACCTATTGTTTGGGGCCCCTGTCAGTCATGGGCCCTTGGAATTGTCCTAACTTTGTCCCCCTATAGGGCACCCCTGCATCCATGATTAGTTAGGAGTGAGTGTGATGGTACGATAGTGAGTGGGGGTAAAATGAATAGTTCAAATACACTGCAATTGTTGCTCCAAACAGGAACTATTGGGAAGAGAAGTGTGGACCTGGAGGGTTAGCGCTGGTTCTTGAACCGTTTTCGTTCAGGAGTCAACACCAGTCAGCAATATGCTGATTTTAACATAGGTTATAATGGTGGTACTTGGAGGGCCTGATATTTTGTGAGCTGGACAAACACTAGTCTAATTCAAAGTAATCAGTGCTGGGATGAGTTCTGTGAGTATGTTTCTGTACTTCATGTGGGACTGTCCGCTGGAATTCCCATTTGGACCTGAGTGGTTGGATTCGCCTTTTTGGAGACAAATGTGTTCTATCAGCTGGACTTACAAAGACAGAATTTGCTCTTACAGGCTTCCTTAATGCATGATTGTGCTGAGGAACTGGAAAAATACAAGCACACCTTGTCACCAAGGTCTGGATGGAACTCATGGCTGTCACATCCTCATACAAGTTAATGAAAATTGACTGAAATGTGGGACAGCTTCCTCAGATGTATTAATGGTGGGGTTCATTAGGCAGCAATAAGTAATAGAAAGCCTAAAAGTATATCACGTGGGATATTGTATGTTATGGGGAGGGGGAGATGCTGTGTGCTGTGGCGTTTGTGTACATGTAGACCACCAAGTGAAAAGTATGTTTTGTACTGTTAAAAAAATAAAAATAAAAACTAAATGACAAAAATCCTGTAGTTATTTCCAGAATAATATACTAATGTGCCCTCCATCTTTAGGTGTCAGCTGTTTGAGGGGCAGACTGGTGATAATGGACATTCAGTATGCATACAGTCAGCTCCATGATGACTGGTCCACCACCTGAGAACACCGTCTCAACTGGTAACATTTATTTAGCATCCAACTTAGAGGGCCAGTGTGTAACATTTAGCGGATCCGTTGTTAGAAATTAAAAATAATATTCCTTGGTATGTTTTCATTAGTGTGAAAGATCCTCCTAAATGTCATACACACCTTTAAGGACATTTATCTGTCAGCTGCATCATTATCTGATACTTCAATCACCATTATCAAGCATCAGGTAAATTATTGTTTCTAGCACTCAAAACAGACTTTCTATACAAAGTGCCTGGATATAAAGGATAGATGAAAAGATGATTAACACCAGGAAATGAAATGATGCCTCCAACGTAAATTTCTTAAAAAATAGTTTAACATCTCTTACTGCAATTTGTGTGGTCAAGTGTCAATGTCAAGTGTTAACTTTTCTTTTCCACTCTGTATTTTTATGAATAGGAGGGCTATGTTGGAGCAGGACCAGACTCTTCATGAGCCAAACAATCAATCAAATGAAAATGCAGCTTTGTTTTGTTACTTCTGTGGGATCTCCAGGGATGTTTTGTTTGTAATGCACTTACTAATTTGTGTTTTAAACAGGATTTGTTATTCTGATTGTTATTCTGGCAGATGGTGTGTCAGTGGACAGAAGAGACCAGTCCAAGAGCTTCTGTCCCATGTCTGTTACTTTAGTTCACTGTAATACACACATCCATTTCCAAGGATGTTTTGTTTGTAGTGCACTTACTAGTTTGCTGTTTTTAAGCAGGATTTGTTACTTTTAGAACTCTATGTTAACAGCTGCTGACGCTATGAATAAATGGTATTAGTTTAATTGTTAAAGAATTTATTAAAACCTGTTCAGAAGTTGTTTTGATGTACGCAGATCATTTCATGTGCAGCACGTCCCCATTCCACCATTAAAACCATTGAGCTTAATTTGATGAACTAGAACAAACAAAACACTGTGTGTTAGTTTACATTGTGCTGTTTAAGGATGTGCAAAGAAAGATACAAATACACCATCTGATTTTAAAATAATCCCATCCCTTCACTTTTCAAGAATGGACCCTTCATAAGCCCTGCCCCTTTTTAGTCGTCCATCCAGTTGAGCTAGCCTCGGTCAAAACCTGTCAACTTCCCTCTTTCCTGTACTTAGATATGTTAAGTGCCAGGCTTGTCTATATTGAAAAGATAACTACAAGGGGGGCTCTCTCTCTCTCATACATATATACACACACACATACATATATATACATATGCACATGAGGACACAATTATTAGCCCTGCTATGAAAATTTCATTTTTTAAAAGGTATTTCCCAAGTGCTATTAAACAGGGCAAATAATTTTTAACACAGCTTTTTCAACATCCTAGTTTTATTTTGGATGTTTATATTATTTTACTTTGCACACAGAAACAAAATTATTTCACAAAAAACAAATACTACCAGGGTCAAAATGATTAGCCCCCTTAAGAACTGACCTTTTTATTGAGCCATAGCACAAACCACTGTTATGCAATGATCTGCTTTAACTTTGTAATGCTCGGGAATTGTAGTCTCAGAAGGCAATCACTAGAGCCCTGCACAGGAATGGACTGCAAGGTTGCAGACCAAGAAAAACTCCACTTCTGCAGAAGAGACACCTTCAAGCCAGACTGAAGTATGCTAAGGACAACCTGGAGAAAGATTATGAATTCTTGAAGCATGTCCTTTGGTCAGATGAGATGCAAATAGAGCTGTTTGGCCATAGAGACATTGTTTATGTTTGGAGAAAGAAGGGCATATAACCCAAAGAACACCGTCCCCACAGTGAAACATGGTGGTGGGAGTATGCTGTGGGGATGCTTCAGTGCATCTGGAACTGGGAATCTCGTCAAGGTGGAAGGAATCATGAAGAAAAAAGGTGAAGATTTTGAAAGAGAACCTGAAGCGGTCAGCAGCAAAACTGGGTCTGTCGTGTATGTATCTATGTATATATACACATATACATCAATATATATATATATACACATATGCGTGCACACACACACACATATATATACATTATATATATATATGTCACTTTTATCTTTTAACCATCTTCAAACTGTGGTTGTCTTCAATGTAGAAGAGCCAAGAAAGGAGAAAGTTGACCGAGGCTTGCTCAACTGTTATTGGAGCACAGAACAAAAAGGGGTGGGTCCAGGCATTTATCACAACTGAAATTATGTGACTCAGTTCTACACTTTCTAAACAAAAGTCACCTGTAGGACCAAAGAGCACACCACTTGATAAAACTTTAAATGTTTCGAGTCTTTTATTTGGAACAAATATAAACATTTTATTTTCTATAATAAGGACATACGACTATGAGTCTGAGCAGACCTTTGATGGACCTTTAAGTTTTTTACAGTTTTCCATACTTATATCTAAGAATACATTTTGGTCAGTACCAACAAAGTAATCAGGTTCATACCCAACCCTATACAAACACTGAGGGCGAACAAAGGGCATTTTACCTGCACCATGTCAGGAATGAACAGCACACTTTTTTCCATCTAAAGTATTTACATTATAAATGACCAGATGACAGAGAATATGACTTGGATAAGGGAGGCTCACATTTGAGAAGACCACTCTGATATCAGCTGTTCCCATTATGGAATATATATGTGTCAATGGACAGGAGGGACCAGTCCAGACCCACTGTCAGTGTAGTTCTGCTGAGATCATTCTACAGTCATAAAATACACACAGTGCGGTTCCACTTTATTTTATCCCATGAAAATCTCTTGGTTGATCTCTCCCCTTTCTGCAGTGGTAGGTGATTTGCAGGACCCTGTAAAAACACTGACAAATAATTATTTTTATAAAAGTTACCCACTGCAGCTTTAATAATGGCTCAGGGTTAATGAAGCAGAGGAGCATGTTGGGATGGCAGTGAAGGAAAGGCAGGTGACACAGAAAAAGTTAAAATAGACAATTGTGACCTGCAAGAGGAGTAAAAATAGTGTTGCAATTTGTGGATTGGAACTATAACAGCATCTGAACTGACTGAAATATGACTGATGTCCACAAACATCTGGTGGCGTGCGTGTGTCTGGCTGTGTCCCCAGAGCCTCTGCAGTGTGATCCTTCAGCCAGCTCTGTACTCTAGGTCGTGTGGAGGATCAGCCAAACCCAGCACACACTGTCGACAGTCTCCAGGTTCATTCACCTCCCATCACGAGTCGAACGTGGCCCTTCCTGTCCAGTGCCACTAAAGAGAGGTGCTGCAGGACCTTCAGCTTGGCGTCACTCACATTCATCTTCAACTGCTTCATCTTCTGCACACTGAGGGAGCTGCTGCAGAGGGCAAGAGGAAACAGTGACTGATCATTTCAAATGGCAAAACGACGGACGCAGCAGTGTCCCATTTCATGTTGATAGTAATGAGAGACTTTGTACTAAGCATATCTGTTCTAAAACGTCAGTCCTGTCAACAGATTTAAATGTTCATCTACACAAAACTTAAGACATGTTCAACAGACCACCTGGTTTCTAAAACTAGTAAACATCACCTTTTCAAAAGGTAGTTCCCCTGTTAAAGGGACAATTTGCACACATTCAACCAGCTTTGTATCATTACAATGTGGGTAGTAGTATAAGCTCTCTGCTCATTTGCCAGCACAAGTTTGCATCAACTGACAGACAGATTGGAAGCGTGTGCCAGGCAGTTTGCAGTTGGCATATGGACATGCCTCAATAAGTAGACTTAAATGCTGTGTGCAAACCAACAAGCCACAGACAGGTACAGTAACTGTCAAGGTAGCCAGAAACTCAAAAAAGCCAAGAGAGAAAAAGGAAAGGAAGTGCCACCTAATTGAAATAACAATTAAAATCAATCATTGTAAAGTTTTTATTTTGTGTTTTCATGAAGTAAATAACTTTTTCATCATCATTATTATTATTAACATAAACAGAAGCTAAGTGGGTTTCAGTGCATATAGGCTTTGTGTGGTCTAGGGTCTTAAACGTTGATCTTGCCCAAGAACAAATGGCACGTACGCAAATACTGAATGCCACAAAAGTTCTTGAATTGTTCTCACACAATTTAAGATCAAATCTGCGCATACGAACGATTCATGCCTGAGGCCAAAATATTGTGCTGTGAGACAGAAATGATTCTGGTGTTGTTATTGCTCATTGCAGCTGTTCTCTAACCTGTTGTCTTTGCTGAGGTGCTGTTGCAGCTGTTGGTAGAACACATTGAGGTCGGCCAGCTTGATGCT